TTCCTGCATTTTGTCCTTTATTTTCCCCCCCTCACTTGCTTTGCAAACACGACATGAACCTTAGCAGAAAAACATCCACAAAACAAGGGCCACTTTTGCTCGGGGATCCCCCCCAGGGCAGGACGAAGTTGGTTAAAATTAATTCTCTCTTAATTTTGGTGTTAAACCCCAACAGATCAGACTCCAACCCCGACTCGGTTCTTGAAGAACTGTGAAGAAGTGGGACTCTTCAATGAGCTGGCCAGCTCCTTTGAGCACGAGTTCAAGAAAGCTGCAGAGGATGAGGAGAAAAAGGCAAGAGGCAAAAGCCACCGTGGCCGGAAAACTGAGCTGGGAGTGGAGAGGAACTGGGATGAAAGGCACTGGAGAGGAGCTGGGATGAGTGGAGCTGGGATGAGAGGCACTGGAGAGGGGCTGGGATGAGAGGCACGGGAGAGGGGCTGGGATGAAAGGCACTCGAGAGGGGCTGGTGCTGCTGGGATGAAGGACACACGATGTAGGATAAATAAATGTGGTCTGGGATTTTATATCGGGCTTTATTTTTGTAACTGGGGTGACTTTTTGGCTGGTTCTCCTGAAACCCCAGGCCTGGCAAGAGCTGATTTGAACAGGTTATTATTCCTTTGGCTTCTCACTTCAAAATAAATGGGGGAAATAAAAAAGCAGTACCCAAAAAACCTCACACCTTGGGAAGAAAGAGACTAGGATTCCGTCAAGCGCTTGGGATCGGAGCAAAAATTCCCTCCGAGCCTCCTTAGGGATCAGGCTCCTTAAGGATGCTGCCTTTAAGGTGCAGGAAAGGGACCTAGCTCAACCTTTAGCGTTTGAAGGGTGTCTCAGAGACAGAGAGAGGGGCTCCGGGGAGGAGCAAGGCTTTTCCAAACAAAGAACACCCTCAGATCCATCGATTCAGGCTCCCTCATATGCAAACACCATCGATTCCGGCTGCCCCAGGAGCGCAAGGGTCTGAAGGACAAGGGGATCTCGGCAGATAGCAGCTAATTAAGGCTATTTCCCTCTCCCCCCTCCCCTCTTTTCCAGGATCTGAGGAGCAGCAGATGCCTATTGGGCTCTTAGGCTGGCAGATACATTTACTAAATTGATAGATGTCCATCCATACGCTCGCAGTCAGCGGCGCTGCTCGGAAATAAACCGCGGGAGCGCGGCCGCGTAAATCTTCACCGAGATGGGGAACGGAGGAATTCAGAATTAAACCTGAAAACTGCCTTTCACCCGCCTCTCCTAATCACAGGGCTCTTTAAAGCAGAAATTGATCTCTCTCATTGGTATGCTGCAGAGCCTTGCCTGGCATTTTATGCTCCTCAATTCCCTGCCTTTTGTTCTCCGAGCGCTGGGGAGAAGGGAATTTTTTTGTGGTTTCACGTAGAAATGGTTGAGCAGCCCGCAGTCTAGCCAGTCATTTTATGTATATATATATATTCATTTATATGGAAGACCACCCATCTCCTGGGCAGCTCAGACCCTTAGGCTGCTCCATGTTTCCCTGGTTTATTTCCTTGCTCTGGGATGACTGCAGTCGGAATCTTTCCGCCGGCGAGCGCAGCGCCGCGAAGCTCCGGGGTGGTTTTAGATGTTGGGGAAAGCATTTCTCCCTCCTAAAACCCCCTCTGTCCAGGCGAGGTGCCCTGCTCCAGATGGTTTGTCACCCACCCAACCTGGCCCGAGGTGCCTGCTGCCTTGCTGAGATGTTTTTCATGTGCCCAGTTGCTGCCGCGGTGGTTTTGTCCTCCCGTTCCAAGGGTGGTCTCGGCACCAGCGCGTTAATTAAAAACACAGGCACAGCAGGAGCTTCCCTGGGGGCATTTTAAGTGCTTTGAAACTTTCCTGCATGTTAATCCCTTCTCCTTTGTGCTTCCCACTGCAACATCTCGATTTAAGAGGGCAGGTAAATGGTTCCAAGCAAAGCCCTGGAGTCAATCCAGCCTCCGCAGCTCCCGGATTCACTCTCTTGCCGCAGTTTTCCTCTCCCTCGAGTGGATTTAAAATGCAGCAGAAAGAGGAGGTTTAGGTTGTTAGATGGTAGGACAAAGTGTCAGCAGTCTGGAGAGTGAAGGGATTGATGGTGGAGGGAGGGAGGGGTTGGACAAACAACCCTCAGGACTGATTTAGGGAGAGTTTCTCCTGCCTGGGACAGAGGGAAGAGGGATGGAGGGAGGGACCTGGGTGATCTTCTTAGTCTCTTGGAGCCCAGTTCAATGCAGCATCCTGCAGTTGGAGCCTCACTCCGTTGCATTCTCCTCCAGTCCTCTCCTACTCCATCTTCTCCCAGCTCTTCCCTTCCTCCAGGTCTAGGGGAAGGGAGAGGTGGCCAACTCAGCTCAGTCCCACCTTGTCACCTGCCCCTATTCCCGTCCCCAGCAAGTCATTAACTGGTTAAAATGGGGCACGTGGCACTGCTGGAACCCAGGGTGGTGGCAAGTTGCCAGGTTCAGGCATATGGTTGGGTTTTATTTTAATGGGGAGCTCACAGATATTTAATAACTTGCATGGCTCTTTGTTTGCTTTCGATAATCGGGCAATAAAATAATTCAGGCTGATTTATACAATGGTTTACAGCTCTTCTGTGAATGAAAGTGCCTTCTGGAACTCGCTGGCATTTGGCTTTGTTACCTGTTCTCCTGAGCAGAGCCCCTTTTATGAAACCCACCCCCCTCCCCCAAAAAAAAAACCCACCCAAAAACCCAACTCGTGGCCAGGATCGTGTGTGTGTTGCTGAGGAACCACAAAATGGTGCCATCTGGGGCAGAAACCATCTCTCCTGGGCCTCAGTTTCTGTTTGGATGGGGCTGCCTCAGGCTCCCAGATGCTACTTGAGGACAAATAAATAATAATAGTTTGGCAGGAGCTCAGCCCTGTCGCTCTTCCTCTGGGAGAAGCCCAGTGTTTCCTAAACAATATGAGCTAATTGTCCTTTCAATCCATGGCTGGTTTTCCTGTAGAGTTCTGGAGCCCTGGACATGTCCCTGCCTTCCACCCCAGACATCAAGATCAAGGAGGAAGAGCCAGTGGAGGTGGATTCTTCACCACCAGACAGCCCCACGTCCAACCCACGGTCACCACAGAACAAGGAGAAGGTAGGTCTCCCCATCCACGTGGAGGTGTTGGAATCTCCATCTCTGGATCAGAACAAGCTTGTTTAGCTAAGGTCTGGTTTGGGCTTGTGATGTTCCCCTCATTTTAGGAAGAAAGTGAAAAGCTCAGTTGCTAAAATAGAATCCCAGAATCCTTCTGGCTGGAAAAGACCTTTAAGATAATTGAATCCAACCACAACCCAGCTCTTCCAACCATAATCCAGTTCTTCCAACCATAACCCAACTCTTCCAACCATAACCCAACTCTTCCAACCATAACCCAGTTCTTCCAACCATAACCCACCTCTTCCAACCATAACCCAGCTCTTCCAACCATTAACCCAGCTCTTCCAACCATTAACCCACCTCTACCAATTCCAGTGCTTAAACCATGTCCCTCAGCACCCTCTACACAGCTTTGAACCCTTCCAGAGATGGAGATTCAGTCCCCTCCCAACTCTTCCAGTGTTCAGTGACCCTTTCAGTGAAGAAGTTGCTCCTGACATCCCATCTGAACTTCCCCTGGGCAACATGAGGCTGGTTCCTCTTGATTTGTCACTTGTTTCTTGGGAGAAGACACCAACCCCCATCACTCCAACCTCCTCTCAGGCAATTGTGGAGAGAAAATCCACACCTGCTGCTTCCCTTAAGTCTCCCCATGGGTTTGGCTGGAGTAGAAGACCTTGCTGGTCTCCCTGGGAATGTTTTTCCACTAACTCATCTTCTCCCAGCCCAGCTCCCTGTGTCCTGGTGGGACTGGACATCATTCACAACAGGTGACACAGAGTCCATCTGGGTGACTTCAGATCTGAGTGACATTTGCTGGGGCTGGAGTGGGAATTCAAAGCCAGGGATGGTTTCCCAGTGGCTGCTGCAGGACTCAGAATTTCTGTGCCCCATTCCCTACCCCAACATCAAACCAGTGTGACCCTGGGGACATCCCTCCCCTCCGTGCCTCAGTTTCCCTGGCTCTTTCATTGTCACCAAATCGCTGGTTTTAACCTCCAGAACGATGAGCCAGGTGGGTGATTCTTCAGCTAATAGATACCAAAGTGTCTCCTTTTTGTCTCTTGCCCTTCTCCAGGAGGTCACCCCCAAACCTGTCATCATCTCCACCCCAACTCCCACCATCGTGCGGCCGGGCTCGTTGCCGCTCCACCTGGGCTACGACCCTCTGCACCCCACCTTGCCATCCCCAACTTCAGTCATCACCCAGGCTCCCCCTTCCAACAGGCAGCTGGGGTAAGTCCAGAAGAAGGAGATGAGCACCAAAAGCTTTTTCTCTCCTGTGCTGTCAGCTTTCCTGGGCAGTAATTAGAGCCTTCCAGAAGTTCCTTGATGATCAACAACAACCGAAGTGTCTCCGTCCCCGTTGCGGCTGCTTGGGCATAAGGGCCTCGTTGCAGCAGTGTATGCAACAGCAGAATGGGGTGTAAGTGCAGAAGCAGGAACTAATTAGCACTGGGTAACGAAACGAGGCAAAACTCACCGTGGGGACAGATGAAACCCAGTCCCCAACCACCCTTGTCATGACAGTGTCTGTGACGGGAACGGGGCCTGACTTGGGGACTCCTCGAGTTGCTCTCGGGGCAGCCGAGGGAGCTCGGTGGTAGGAAATTGTCTGGATCTTTAATGGCTTTGGGATTCTCCCAGACAGCTGTTGCCTCTGAAGTGTAACCTCTTCTGCAACCTGCTGGCCTCCTCCTTGGGCAGCTGCTGCCTCGGGAGCTGTTTGTTGCAGCAGCTCTAATGACCTGCTCCTTTTTTTCCACCCCCGCCTCCTTTAATGAGCTGGTGGGGAAGCTCTGGAGCTCTGGCTGTGGTGGGATGAGCCTGCCCTGCTCCCACACACCTCCAGCCCTGGAGCCTGAAGGATGTAGGGAACACTGCAAGGAACCCTCAGGAGATCTGGATTTACCCCTAGGGTGCTTCATTTCTGCCGTGCTCTTTCTAATCCCCCCCCAGTTTGATGCTGGTTCCTTACATGAACCAGGCCATTTTTTGGCTGTCAAATGATATTTTTGGGGGGTGTTTTTGCTTTGACCCCCTGGCACCATCACTCCAAACTTCCTGATGGAGGGTTTTCTGTCCTTTCTCGAGGCATTAAAGGCTTGAAAGTGATTGTCCTAGGGTTTCAAAAAGTCCTCCTGTGAAATGGGACAGGGAGAGGCTGGTGGAGCTGGAGGGAACCAAGTCCCCTGGATGCTTTGGAGGCACCAAAAAATCAGATGGAGCAAACCAGACTTGGACATGATTTGATGTGTCCTTTGCAGCCCACGGGGGCAGGTCCCTCCTAGGGCCTGAAGCTCCAACCTGCTCCTTTGGAGAGCTGGGGCTGCAGCTTTAGGAGGGTCGAGCCTTCCCAAGGCAGCCCTGGAAGTTCCAGCTGGAGTTCATGGCACCTGAACTCCCTCCTCTGACCCACCTTCCCTTTTCCTCCCCACCCTGACCCACCTCCCCTTCTTCTCCCCACCCTGACGCACTTCCCTTTCTCCCCCCAACCCTGTTCCACCTCCCCTTCTCCCCCCAACCCTGACCCACCTCCCTTCTCCCCCCTACCCTGACCCACCTCCCCTTTTCCTCCCCACCCTGACCCACCTCCCC